GGAATTAGGTGGACTGATATATAGATATGCACGAAATGATGAGGACAGACAGATCGATATGCACGCAATAAGGAGGACAGACAGATCGGTATGTACGCAATAAGGAGGACAGACAGATCGGTATGTACGGAATGATGAGGGCAGACAAATCGATATTTACGCAATGAGGTGGACAGATAGATCAATATGCACGGAATGATGAGGACAGACAGATCGATATGCACGCAATGAGGTGGACAGATAGATCGATAGTAAAAGAATTATAAGGACAGCTAGAGAGATATAAAATGGGAAGGACAGATAGATCGATATGAACAGAATGAGAAGAGTAAATATATAAATTGACATGAACAGAATGAGACAGGCATGAAGAGAATGAGATATTTAGATATGAACAGGATGATCTATATATATATATATATATATATATATATATAAAGAGAGAGATGTGAATAGACTGATATAGATAAACATATTGATATACGATTGATTGAGATAGATATATAGATATGAATAGATTAAGATCGCTTGATTAATAGATAAGAAGCTGAGATGAATAGAATGAAATAGATGGATAGATACATAGACAGATATGAATACAATGAGATAGATATGAACACTGAAAAGAATGAAGTAGATAATGTTTTTTTATGCCTACTCAATAGCTGAACATTTTTTGTTCGAGTCCAATCAAAAACGCTGTAAACACGCCTTAGGGCTCGGCATTACCAAGTCCTCTAACCCTAATGTCAGCGCATTTGTTTATTTAGAAGACCTGTCATTCTCAAGTATTATAAACATCTATCCTTCTATCCCAGATAAAATTAATTGGGGTAAAGGCAAGTATTAATTAATGTTTTTTATGAGTTTCCTTTTGCGGTGAGAAAGGGAGAATCTTTCTTTTTACACATACACGTAAGTGCACAATTTAAGTTGCAATCAGAAATTACTTCTGCAATACATGAACCTATTAGATATTTATGGGTCTCCAAATCATATATCTTATAATTCTACTTGTGTTTCTATTAGTTATTAAGTGCGTCACGTTTTGATTGCGAGGAAAGACAGGAGAGACACATAATATCGGAGACGTTGTTTAGTGAGAAAAAGAACGCATACATTGTCTTTACTAGTAAACTTTCTCGAATGTGCAGGCTGATAGACATAATCCACACTGTTTAAAATAAAAATGGGGAGTCTATTTCAATAAGAAGCGTCTACTATAATAACGTTTGCAGTAATAAAAAGTCGGATTAAAAATTAATCCATTAATTCTTTAGGAATTGCTTTCTGTTTGCACTGCAGCTTAGACCAGACACCAGGCTCATCTCAGGATTCAAGTTAAATACTTGTGGCTTAAAAATAAAACTTTGGCTAGATCGATAGCCACGAAATAAAACCATAAGCTGGTTATAGCAGTAAACAAATTTTTATTCTGGTTGTAACTTTGTGCTGTAGACGAGCGAAGTAGAAATGAGGCGGAGGTGAACAGGGGGTGGGTTGAACAGTCTAACGGGCCTGTCTTCCTTTTCGCGTCCCGGCAAGCGGTCTCTCGACCCATTCTGTTCGCTTTCTGTGGGTCTCTGTTTTCGTCTGATAGTGACTGCTGTCTCATAGAGAACAGCATTCTTTGTCGTGTCATCTTTGCCTAAAAAAATAATTTATCAAGAAACCAGGGTCTTATCCCTCTCAGTAACCTTATTTGTCAGGATCGTTTGGCATGTTTCTTGCAAGATCCACTTCACGTAGCTGCTAATCATCAAGACAATTACTCTCTGGAACAATGTCTGTAACATCCCTCACATGTCTTAATTTAACAAGATATCGGTTGACACTGATATCGCTACATCTGTTCCAAATATTATTTCAGGACACACATAAAGCCTATACGTTTGCATTATGATTCTTTACATCGTATCATTGTCAAAAAGATTCAACCGTACACTTGATTTTAGATTTTATAAATGGTAGACACAAGTACTGATCACTGAAGTTAAGCAATATCAAGCCTGGTCATTACCTAGATGGTGACTGCTTGGGAATACTAGGTGCTGCAGATTGTATGTTCAGGTGGTGTAACAGCACAGACTGTGAAATCGGAGAACAGAGTTCGAATTCCAGTCGAGTTCGTTACATTTACTCGCGCGTAAATACTCTTGGGAAAAGTATGAATCCATCTCTTCTCTCCACCACTATGGATTAAACAGCAGGACAAATTGTGTCTTATAGCCTCAGCTGACAACAAGTCTACCACAGAAATTAACGGTAATCTATCGCGGAAATTCTTCTACTAAGTTAATCATGAATAAAAGAGGCATGGTCGCATCATGCATGGCAGCTAAGGAAGGAATGGCTGAAAACCGCTGAATCTGCTTGTAGAATTTGGAAAGTGAAAGTAATTGAAACAATATCTGATCGTACTGGCCAAAAATGATATAGCCAATCGTCATCTTCTGTCTTCTTGGAACCTGTTTTTCATTTTCCTTTCTCTTCACTAAAGTTATCATTTACTTTCATTCCCGGTCACCCCCTTGCGTCTTCGTGGCATTATCGTATTTTTTAAGTGAAATGATTAGAAAAAAAAGTATTAGTCGCACAAAGAAAAAAAATGTTTTGTAAATTTTGTATTCTTCTTCTTATTGTTTATGTCGTTTAAGAAATGTAAATTTATTTCAAATTTCACACCAGAGTCACTCTTGTCTTTTTTTTTTTTTTTTCGCTTGCGTCATTCATGTTACGCGGGATAAAAAAAAAATCGACTTTTTCTCTTCTTTTTCCCACAAAATCTTTTTAATGTATGAGATTGCACTGGTTTATTTATTACTTATAAAAAGTTTTGCCAGTTTTGCTAAATAGAAATATACGACCCTCTGTTCAAATTTGGATTGAAATAAATATTTAAATGTTTTTAAGTATATAAGTTTAACCCATTCACAAATATCCTGTTAATGAGGAAAGAGGGCTTAGCAAATCTGGTTGAGGGCAAGACGGGGAAAAAGGAAAACAACGCATGACATACTTAGTGAGCTTGAGTAAATGGATGGCGTTTTAGGAGAACATATAAACAAGACAACATTTATTAAGGCCCTGAATAGACAGGGTACAAAGAGAAGATGTCGACGCAAATTAGAAATCATTTCGAACTAAACAGTGTGCCCTGGATTAATAGTATTTGGCAAATCTATAATCCCTACTTAATAATGGAATTATTTTTCTTTAAATAAATATTCCACACCTTCATCAATTTTAGGAAACCTCGATAAAAGAAAAAAAACTACTTGAACACGTCTAAGATATTTGTTCGAGGAGTTTTTGCACGCGCATACGCGAAAACAGACTACCTCTCTCTCTTGCTATGTTGAATCCATACGCCCCCCCGCTCAGATCCCTGTTCTCAGAAGCGCTTTATCCTTTATAACTCTAAATTTTATGTGATATTTGTTGATCCGTGTGTTTGCTCAAACATTTCAAGTTGCTTTCCTCTGTCATGTGTGTGTTAAATTCTCCAAGTCTTCCTTACCAATATTTGGTATTATAAAGCTGTTTCCTTGTCATTCATGTTCTGTTTAGAACTTGTTCCTTTGCCCTATGCTCTCACCGTGGCATTCTTCAGGCGAACAGAATCCCGGACCCTTCATGATGTTTTTCATTTGTGACGATTTTGTCCAGTTTCCATTGCCTTGTATAGGAGAAGCAGTCTAAAATATTATTCTTTTTTGTTTCTTCTTTTAATTTCCGGCCTTTTCCTACCTTTCGTACTTGGTTTTTAAAAAAGTCTCTTTTCCTATTCCTCCTCTCGGGTAGTGAATGCTGTGCAATCCCCTTACAGATGAAGAAGAAAGCCGAAGCGACGGAGAAGGATGCTGTGACTACCATGGTGGAGCATGGGAACAAGTAAAGAGGTTTTAAAGAAAATGGCAACAAAAGAACACTTAGAATCAGAGAGAAACTGATAAAATTTATGTGACGCATAATAAGGAAAAAGAGGGTCTGGAAAATTTGACACTCACAGAGCATGTTGAAGGCAGTAAGGAAACTTCGTGTAACCTAACAAGCTTGTGTAAATGGATGACACAAAAGTAACCAGGCGGGATAGTAATGATCGATTCGCTTTCTACGGCTTATGAAGTATTTGCAGGTATTTTAAGCCAAAAAGATTAATTGTAAGAATAATAATGGTTTAGTAATACGTGTTAATAATTAACTCTCAGGTGAATTCATGTTTTTCTCAATTGTATTTGCGCATAAGTGAATATAACGAACCCAACGGGAATTGGAACTCGGCTCTCCGATTAATAATTCTAAGCCATTATCAATTACATCACCCACACACCCAACCTTCTATCACCTGATATTCTCAAAAGATCACTCTTCTATATACTGACCAGGCTCAACGTTGCTTAACTTCGGTATTCGTATACGAACCGGTGTTTTAACGCGATGTAGCCGTAAGCTAGGGGAGAGAGTAAAAGGACACGCATTGGCGTTATAAAAGATAGGAAGTTGTAAAGAGCCATGATCGCCTGCGTTCTACGGCGTATAAGAAAAAAATATGATTAATAATGTAAACTCTTTCTTGAAATGATGCTGAAATGTTCTCAGCCCAACCAAAAATCCCTTCCCAAATAATATCTGGAGAGAATGAAAGAGACGGAGATGATGTTTTACAGAAGGATTCTAAGAATACCATGGAGGAAGCATGTGAACAACGAGGAAGCTTAAAAGAAAATGGAAACAAAAAGGACGTTTATACTTAGAACCAGAAAGAGTTAACATTTTGGAGACACCTAACGAGGAAAGACGATTTAGAGAATTTGACACTCAGACGGAAACAGCAAAGAACCTACCTAACGAGCTTGTGTAAACTGACATCAGTACAAAGAGTTAGTGGGTTAGTAAAGAGACAAATAATGTTAAGAAGGATAGAAAGTGATGGAGAGCCATTATCGCCCACGTTCAGAAGAAGAACATACTTATTGTATTAATCTTACAAATATTACGAATAGACGTGGTCGTGGCAGAAAGAAAATGGCGATCCTCGGAGAAAGAAGAGTAGTGAAGCTGATGCCAAAACCGAAGGCACAGAACGAAGGAATTGAAGGAAAGAAAGAAAAAAAGAAAGAAGAAAAGTTGGAAGAATAGAAAGAGACAAAGAGAAGAAGTAAAAATTTATTATTAATATTTCGAATAATAATCCACCGGGGTCGAGCGAATATGTAAATATTATCAGTGCTTCTTGGAAACGCCTGGAGAGATTGTGACGAATCGAAGAAAGGCCCAGAGGTAAAAGAGGCGCCGATGTTGCACGCTGGGGAAGCAGGAAAGGCCTTCGGTTCTTCAACTTATGTACGAGAGACGCACGAGAAATAGTTCATAAACAGGCTCGCAGACAAACATTTCAATATCTCACAATACAGAGCTACGTAAAATATATGTATACGTACGTATATATATATATATAATCTTTCTTATTGTTAGTTTATTTTTACTTCATTTTTGTTTCCGTTTTTCTCTTGCTCCTTTTAATAGACCAGTCGTTTATTTTATAGTTGCTTTTTTTTTCTCATTGTTTTTTGTAGCTTTCAACTTAAATGTTATACAAACATTAACTTGGTTAGTTCTGTAGCGTGAGAAATTTAATTTTGAGTCGAAAGTGACAGATATATAAAAATTGGGTACACAGCAACCCTTTCAAGATGAGTTACCAAAGTTTCCACTTGAGAGACATATTGGAATAACAATACGTCCACCTTCACAATTACTCTCGCATCCGGACTAGACGTACCTGGTCGGTATTTGATTTGTATATTTTTTTTAACCCATGCACGTTTATTCCAGACACACGCTTTTATTCTATTCTCGATTTTTTTCAAGATTCCTATTTACTCCAAACTGCCCGATTATTCCCACCTTCTTACCCATCATATTTTTTTTTACTTCCTAAAACAAGTTTATTTTAAATTAATTTTCCAACCTACCCTTTTATTAAAACATTTTAGACGTATAAAAGTAATGTGTGCGCTCTTGGCCGGTCATATGAAACTCAACAGTCAATCAAGGCAGTTCGATCTTTACAAAGTGATTTTTTGGTAGACATCGGGAAGAGGAGCTGCTTTTCCGATTCGCCGGACTTGTGAATAAAGAGAGGCTTTTATAACACTACTAGTTTTCTCTTTCAGGGTTTGAGAGTAAACATAATATATTTTTATATTTTGTGAGGATGTTCTTTTTGTATAAAGTAAAAACATTTACGTCCTCCTGATATCTCGAAGTCGTTTTTATTTTTTTTATTATGATTTTTTTAGTGATTATCTGCTACCGATAGCCAAATACTACCAAAGCAGCCCAACTTATATTTAATAATAGCCTAACAGACGATCGCAACAAAATGTAATTTCAATTCACTCCTAAAATTTATCACACACACACACATATATATATATATATATATTACTTCAAATTTGATTATAGTGGGTACGTCGTATTTGAAATAGACGCTCCTTTTTTATTAATTTAACAATATTTATTACGTCTATCAGCCTGCATATTCGAAAAATCTTACGAAAGCAAAATGCGCCCCCATTTGTAAGGGAAATGTCCGTTTGATCCAATATGCTTTACCGGTTGGCCACGCAGAATGTAATAGCAAGCAATGTTCTATTTTCCCTTTTCTAAGGAAAGCACATGCTCTTCATTCAGATTATTTTTTTTCGAAAGCTCCATATCTTGCTCAGTGTCGTATCCGTTATAAATGATATCGTTTCAGGATATACGCGATCATGACTCTCCACAGATTCCTTTTTCTTTATTATCGTCAATTACGACGCATACTTCAGAAAGTGTAGTTTCCCGTTACCTTCTTTGTACTTTGAATTGCAAAGTTTTCCTTCTCTTAGACTGATTGTCACCAAAGCCAAGAGAGTCCAATTCAACCGATTAATAGGAGTAGAAAAGATGAATTCATGCCTTCCTTAAGGAGATTTGCGTGAAGAAGAAAGGGAAATTGAACCGTCAATCCAACTTTCCGCCCTCATACCCATTGCACTATCCGCACCCGCTAATTTAACAATGCTTAATTCATTTTAAAGGAGAAGAACCAGAAAGGTGTCAAATGAAAATGCACGAAGCGATTGTGGCGCGGTGCAAGAATAAGATATTGTCATATGTTATATTTTTCGTTTCTTCATTTAAATAACCCGTTTGTTTTGAACGGGTTCTTTGTAAAAAACACATTACTTGTGACCATCATAGCCACCCAGGCCTTCTGATGGGTGCACAATGTCTGGCTGCTAGTCTACATGATCAAGTGATTATCATTCCCACTTTATCAACGCACTAATAAATGTAAACAAGCAAATTCACCCAACCCTTAAGACCACTCAACATTTATTAATCCCTTCTAAAATTTTATTCACTCCCAGATGTCTACATGGACCACTTTGAAACATTCCAATATTATATGATGTGTATCATCACAGATCACAAGATGATAAACAAATTGAAAATCACCACTCTTAGAAATGTAACCAATTCGCATTTACTCTTCAATACCAAGTGATTATTGTTCTCCCTTTATTAATGTATTAATAAATGTAAATAAGTAAATTGAACCTCAAAGATTTTATTAACCCTTTCCAAAATTTTATTCACTCTCAGGGGTCTATATAGACCACTTTGAAACACTCCAATATAATATTATGCATATCATCACAGATCATAAGTTGATAGACAAATTGAAACTCACCACTTTTAGTAATGTAACCAATTTGCACTACTTGGACACATTAAAAGATTTAGTTCAGGGATTACTAAATTGTGTCTTCAGGAAATGGTGCCCCACAAGATAAGTCGAAGAAAACCAAAATAAATATGGGGGTAACATGATTCTGTGATTGCCAACTAACCAATCCTAAATAGTAAACAAAGAATCAACCTCCACTTCTGTTCAAAAGATGTGAAGGAGTGTGAACCGCCTATCAGCCTGTTCACATTCATTGCTCATCTTTTGAACAGGAGTTGAGGTATATCCCATTTCTTGTTTAGGATTGGCTTTCTGGTTCCTTTTCCTAAAGTCTTCTCATTCTCTTTTTCACCCAGTAACTCCTTGCATCTTAGTTGCATTATTGCTTTGCTTGGGGTGAAATGATTAAAAAAAGTCCCCCAAAATATTGAATGGTAGACATTAAATAAGCTTGCTCATGATCATAATAAATGGCAGGAAATATAAGTTATGTAAATTTACATTTTGTATTCTTCTTCTTATTGTTTATGTCGTTTAAGAAATGTAAATTTATTTCAAATTTCACACCAGAGTCACTCTTGTCTTTTTTTTTTTTTTTTTCGTTTGCGTCATTCATGTTACGCGGGATAACACAAAATCAAAAAATTTTCCCACAAAATCTTTTTAATGTATGAAATTGCACTGGTTTATTTATTACTTATAAAAAGTTTTGCCAGTTTTGCTAAATAGAAATATACGACCCTCTGTTCAAATTTGGATTGAAATAAATATTTAAATGTTTTTAAGTATATAAGTTTAACCCATTCACAAATATCCTTTTAATGAGGAAAGAGGGCTTAGCAAATCTGGTTGAGGGCAAGAAGTTGTGGAGAGGCATAATCGTCTATCTCGTGTGTGTTGCTCTTAGCAACACAAACTCATCAAGTAGGTGGTTCATTGCTTTTCCCTACTCTTATGCCTTCACTATGTCCCGTGAGGGTTATGTTTTCCAAGCCCCCTTTCCTTATTATGTATTCAGCTGAATTTCAGTTCCCTTTTCCTGTTCTTTTTGTAGCCATTTTCTTTAAGACTTCCTTATTACTTACTCTGAATTTTCAGTATCCTTCTGTAGAACCACATTTCTGCTGCCTCGAGTTTTTTCCTAATCGCTGTCCAACATTCGATGCCATATAAGAGGATGGATACCACATAGCAACCCAGCGCTCTTTTCTTGGTTTCTAACGTAATCTTTCCGTTTCACAGCACCTTGCTTATCTTTTGTAATGTTTCTTTAACTAGTTCAATGCCTGTTTCAGATTTTGGTATCGTACTTTCCATCATCTGTTAAAACTCTTCCCACATATATTAATTTCTGCACGTGCTTGATGTCTATATCTCCAATTCGTAACTCACACCTTGGGTCTTTTTTTTTCTCTTGCTGATGATCATACTTTCTGTTTTCTTACAGTTGATGATTACTCCTTTTTTTTTCTCGATTTCTTCTATCACACGGTCTAGGAGGTCTTGTAATATTCTTTATGAGTTGTCCATCAACACAGTGTCAACTGCCTATCTTATATTATGATTACACCCACCGACAATAAATCCTGGTAGGTTTCCAGTTTTCTTGGGATAGAGTCGCTGTTGAGGTTGAATAAATCTGGCGAGAAGACGCACCCTTGTCTTTGCCCCTTTCCAGTGTTTCCAGCAGTTTAAACAGATCTGTGTACCGTAACTTGTCAAATGCTTCTGTACAATCTAAACAACATAAGTGCCCATTCTTCTGTATTTCTATTGCTCTTATATCATTCTGTTCATGAAAATCACATTACTTGTTAAGGTGTCTTTGACAAAGCTACATTGTTCTTGCCCTGTTTCTGGTCTAATTCTGTTTCATGATCTATTCATGGGGATTCGCATCATTACTTTACATTATATGACTCGTTAAACTGATTGTCCTACGGAGTTCGCATTCCTTTGCACCTAGTCCCTTAGGTAATGTCACGAGGATGGATTCAATGATGAGGTCCTCCGTTGTGGCCACTTGTATTTTTCGTTTATTACTTCTGCGATTTCCTAAAAGATAAAGAAGAGACTCGAGGCGACAAAGATGTGGTTCTACAGAAGGCTGCTAAGGATATCATAGACCGAACGTGTGAGCAACGATGAGATCTTAGACAGGCTGCAAGCAAGGAGGGGGCTTATAGTTAATATCAAAGAGAGGCAGCTGACGTTTCTGGGACACATAATGAGGAAGGAGGGCCTGGAGGATCTGATACTCATGTGTCGAATAGAGGGAAAGAGAGACAGGCGAAAACAACGCGTGATATACCTGGCGGACTTAAGCAAGTGGATGGCGGAATGTGGTCTGGGGGAGGAAGAAGAGGGAAGGAATTTGTTTAGAGCTGCAAGGGTTGGAGTAAGGTGGAGGGCCACGATCGCCTACGCCCTGAAAGGACATGGCACATAAAAAGAAAAGATCTTGTCGATAGGTAAATCTTCTAAGGCTTAGTTCATTTCTGTTACGATTCCGTTAGTTCCTGCAGCTTTGTTCGTGTTCATCTTCCCCACCGCTGATCTTATTTGATCTTTTTGATTTCTAGCCTTACTGTATTTTCCAG